GCATTATTTTAGATGTAACTTTGCTTAAGCTACTGTATTCAAGGAGTGGTTACCTTGATTCCCATGCCTTATTGTTTAGGCCATAATAGATTAATAGATATTTGGTCACCTATTTGAACCATTTATAGAGCACAAATTTATCATGAGTTATTTCAGCAGCAGCATATCTGCTAAAAAAATATACAGTCTTAATTTGAAAACAACTAATGAATTGCTTTCCTGGGTAGGTCTTCAGATCTTAATTACACAGCACTAAACAATATTACTAATACCTTAATAAAAATAATACTACTAATAAAGCATTATATTTTAATTTGACTTGCAGTTGGCTTTTGTTCCAAAAATAGCCCTTTAGTATCAGTAGTTCCTCCTTCTGGGAAAGTAAGTTAATTAATTTCTCATTCTTTCGAATTTTGAAATAAATTGAACTACCTCTTGCTAACTGTAAATTGCTAGCTTAATATACCTTTCCTGAAGTTGCTCTAAAGCTCAATGTTCTGCTTAACAATGAGCTGCCACTTGAGACATTCACAAGGCCATCTGCTCTGCTAATGTTGAGGTTCATGTTCTGGTGTTCTTACCACTATTTATTTCTAATGCACTGTAAATCTTCATACTGCTCCTTGGCACATTAAACAGTTTAAAACACTAAGGCACATTTTATTTGGGTGCCACATACCCATCCTGCAGGTATTTATCACTCCTCGTATATTGTACTTTCCATGTCCCTGAACCACGTCTCTTTCCATGTCTCTTTCATATTTGCATCTTCCACTCACCTGAGAAGAAATACATTATTCAAGTAGCAGAGCTGTTGCCAAGCTGGTTCCTGATAGGAAGCTGATGCAGTTGCTAGTAGAATTGTTTTGGTGAGGTTGTGCATGTTTGAGTTACTCGGATGTGTGAGAGCAGATTCCTTTTATCCCATTTGTAGGTCAGTTATGCTCCCATTGGTGTAAATTGTGCAGTCTTATGCAATCGTTTTGTACTCATTCATATCCAAAAGCAGACTGACAAAAGTTCTTTGTCACTGTAGAGACATTTATTGTTTTGCATTTTTCATCATTGCTCATTATACTGAAGTTCATGCATTCATGAGAAAAATCTTCCCTAGCAGCTCTTTGTTTTTGTCCTGACTCTTCCCTTGGTCTCTTTCATAAAGGCTATTTGACAAGTAATGAGACTTTGCCATCGTGCCTTCCTTCAGGGCTGGTTGGTTGTTTTTCTTTGCTTAGCTGAAGAACGTCAGAAGTTTATAGGAAATAATTTCTTTTATTAAAAAAAAATTAATTAAAAACCAGTTTATGTAATGGTAATCTTAGTGACTCAGATGTGTGTGCTGGGTCTGATCAGTCCTTGGCCAACACATTAATGCTACTGGGAAAGGGCAAAAGGGCCCCACTAATTTACTCTGGCACTGACTGAGGAGGCTTCTCTTAACAATATTCCTTGGTGAATTGTTAAAAAATAACTATATCTTTTATATATATTATGTATATAGCTATATATGCATATTATGTCTATAACTGCATATCTATATAACAAGGGTATTTCCTGTTGTTCCCCCCGTTCAGCTTTGATGTGCAGTTCAGCGATCCTTGGCTTCTGCTGACGTGTCCGAGCCCAGCAGGCACCACGGAAACCCCTTCCTCCCTCTCCTCTGGTAGCCCTGACCTCTGCAGCAGCGACTTTGTTCGCTTTACATCCACGGGGGGGAAACTGGGAGCTGTTTGCACTTTGAAATGCTTTTCAACGTAACTAATCTGTTGCTTTGCAGCACTTAATCCCTGTCGTCTTGACCTCTCCCGAGAAGGCACCTGGCGGAAGATGGCTCCTCCTGCGGCCGCGGCCTCGTGCGGCGCCTCCGCTGGGAGATCCCCGAGGCGCCGGTTCCCGCCCCGTCCCGCGCCCC